GGGGGGGGGGGGAGGCGAAAACGCCGATTTTGAATACCTAGTGTCCTTTGTCTCTTTGATTCTTAAGATATAGTTCCGAATTTCCTATTATTTTCATAAATGAGAAGTAGAAAGACATTTGACAAGAGCCGTAGAAACCCACGCTCGCCTCTGATTGGTGCCGGATGGCGTCATTCGGTTCGGTGCAAAACCGGGGCGTTTTAAATTTACGAAAAAGTCGCGCTTTATGAACTACGTATTTCTCGCTTTCTGAGTTACTTTTTCGCGTTTTGAATGTGCGCGTTTGTATTCATTTTCCTGCGCTTCATTTTCCTGCGGACAATGTATTCGTAAGTCAAAATTCGTTCATAGTTTAGTGACCCATTAAATCGTAATTTGGTCGGGGACCCCGACTTTCAGGATCCCCCTTCTCCCCCTCTTCTGGCCCTTTCTCTACCTTTCAAAGGGGGCTAAGGATGGGAGTGGTTGACACGATGAAAGAAGATTTTCTTGGGGTCTACCCTGTTCGATCCCGCGGTTCCTCCCTTTTTCCGCCCTATAACAACTGAGAAAAAGTCCGGTAAAGGTGATCTGGGACATGAGCATTAATGAGTCCTTGCCTAGCTCATCAACTACCAAAAGTTTGAGTCCCGAAATTTCGCTCCGACTGAGGAAAGCGTAGCTCATGTTGTTTGGAATTCTTGATTATACTCATTCGCTGATTCTTTGTCGATTTCTAATAACTCATTCCGTGATGAGAAACCAAAATTCTCTTCCACTTCCTCAGAATTATCGAGAGAGAAACTGCATAATGCTCCGGAATTTCAGATATGAAAATCGACCTCCCCCCATCTTTTAGTCGATTCTTTGGCGTACATTAGAATTCTTCAGTCCAGAAGCGTTTTTTATGTTAAAATTATTTGGCCATTAGATGCTTCGTAATTTTTCTGACGATTTGAAGATTAATGAGGTCAATTAAGGCGGCTCGGGTGCAATATAAGCCTTGTAATGGTCCCCAGGCAGTAGAAGAAGGGATTCCCGGTTTCTGGAGTAGATTCCCTGGAATTTCCTTTCCCTAATAAATCCCGGTTTTTGCCGGTCTCAGACACCATAAAGTGGGTGAGCCATGAGTCAAAACGTGTGGCCATATGTTTCGAATTCATACCTACATGGATGAACATAGCGAGGGCCGAGGTGCAAAACCGCGTACCTCCGGTTGCGACTTCTCCTTATGCTTTATTTTTCCTAAGAAAAACCAGTCGAAACCAGTTTTGAAAACTTCCTTGATTCTACTTTTCTGTTGGCAACATATTCTAAATAAATTTCAAGCGGAGAAGTTGACTAACTTTTCATCTAAAAAATAAAATATGAGCGGAAATTTAAAAACATCGCAATGGAGATACGTGATTTTACAGTTTAGTCATCGATATTTTACCAACCTAAAAAATACATATTTATATCAAACACTCAAAAAGGTTGCAATTTAACGAAAATACGAGACAAATCGGCCAGCATCACATGCAATTTTTCAACCGTAAAAAAGCGATAAAACGACACATAAAAGAGAATTATCGCCTAAGGCAAGGAAAGAAATATGTATATAGGTTGAAATGGATGAGAAGGCTTACCGTTGTGATTGGATACGCGGGCGTGAAAACTGTTAGCAGCAAAACGTGATTCTCTGGAGCAGGCCTGTGGACAGGCAAAAAAAAGAAAGGGAAATTCCATTTCGATACCGCTAAGAGGGCTGAAAAAAACAAAGAGCACCGAGGAAATAGTGCCAACCTCACAGTAAATCATCACAATCTCTTTCTCCGAAACATCTGCCTTCGATACCTCAACTTAGATACGTGCATTTAAAAATATCTCCATAAACGTGGTCTTATATGCTGAACTCGTTGCAAATGTAGTTGCAATTGTAGTTCACGCCAGGGTCAGCCACGAGTTTGGTATCTCAAAAGTAAATTCTCCATACATTTTTCAAGTAAATAAAAGCATATAACTTTAAGAAATGGCACATGGTTCAGAAGCTAATATCGTAAGTAGTAGGGTGGATAAGAATAACAATCGTGCATTTCTGGAAGAAAGCATGAAACTTTCAGCGTATCATCTTTACCTATAAAAGGTTCAATTTTGCAAGTAAGCCCAAAATTCTGAAGCCATGGGGGCCCGGGGAGGAGGGAGAGCAGGGTGCCCTGAATTCGCTCCTTTTTGGCGAATTTTCGGGTTGAGTCATTGTTGGAACGACGTTAAAAATATAGAACGTGATCAAAACTTGTGTAAACTTCATACCTACCGAGAACCTACTGAGGTTCTCTCGAACAGCGGTCTAAAATTTTATCACCATCCAATCCCGGAACAACCCCCACCCCCCCCCAAAATGTCTAAAATTCAAAATGACGCCCAAAATAAGACCTCCGGCCTCCGGGATATTGGTATTTTCACATGTGCATATCGTGCCAGGCGAAAAATCTATTTCAATGTAAGTTTGGTCGCAGATTTCATATTTGAAGTCAAAACGACGCCTCGGTCAAAATTTGCGCCCAAAATCCGAGATGGCGGCCAAAGTTGAAAGGCGGAAGAGTGCATTTTTAAACATTTACAGGATAAGGCAAGTAATATGCCATTTTCTATGGGTCGTAGATTTCATTGATGAAGTGAACAGAGCCCCACAGTCAAAATTGAAGCCCCAAATCCAAGATGGCGGCCAAAGTTGAAAGGCAGGAGGGTGCATTTTTATGAGAAAAAAAATCACGCGAGATGGCTGGTGAGGTATCAATTTCTACGTATTTTTAGTCCACGAAACGAATATAAATGAAATGTAAAAACATTATTTTACACCAAAGTGAGTCGTGATATTCAAAATGGTGATCAATATGTCCGTCCAAGTTAGGAATGAATTTGACAGGAGCGACTATAATGAGTTGTGTTATTTATTTTAAGCCCATATATTAGCTCAATAAAGGTTACAGAGGAGATTAAGAGGACATTAAAAGGACATTAAATGGCCATTAAATATTTTATACAAAAATGAGTCGTGATGTTGATGACGATGACCATTATGGTTGACAAATGGCAAGTCACAAATAATGCTTGAGGTGTTTTACCGATTACTGCACAAAAACTCTAAGCTGTCTTCAGTTCTCATCACTAAGCCATAGATGGAAAATATACAAATATTAATTTTTTCTGAGCTGGCCATTTTTTTCAAAAAAATGAAAAACCGAGTTTCCCGCAGTTTCCTGCAGCAAAATTGTACTGGAAATGAATGTTGAGGATATGAGGGATAAGTACCTGGCACTTTATAGAAACCTATAGAAAAAATTGCAGAGACCTTTTTAGTCGAAATTTTCAGTCATGTCGTTTTTAGTTATCGATCGCACTATTTCCGACGAAGAGTTAATAGCGATCCGCTTACGAAGAACGGCGGTCGTAATAGACAGACCCATGATAGTTGGTTTTTCCATGTTAGATCTAAGTAAAGTGCATATGTATCAATTCCACTTTAATCTTATGCTTAAGAAGTACGATCCCGGCAAAGTTCAACTTCTCTATATGGATACGGACTCGTTCATTTCCGAGTTGACTACACCGAACGTCTACGATGATATGATGTCAGACTTACACATGTGCGACACCTCCGACTTCCCAGAAGGACATCAATGTCGAAGCATGCAGAACCGGAAAGTAATGGGAACGTTCAAAGACGAAACGGCGAGTCGACCCGTTGCCGAGTTCGTCGCGCTGCGAGCAAACATGTACGCCTACCGATTCGTTGACGGTAAAACTGAAAAACGAGCAAAAGGTGTATCAACGGGAAAGTTAAGATCGCTAAACTTCGATAACTTTCTGAGCGTATTGCAGGATCCTGAATCGAGGATGAGCGATTCGATGCGAAGGATCGGGGCGCGCAAACATCAACTCTACTCGTTCGAAACGAGGAAAACAACTCTGTCCGGACTCGACGACAAACGATGCGTTCTAGAGGACGGAGTGAACTCTCGTCCTTGGGGTCATCGCGACATCAACTATCGTTGCTGAGTCGATAAAAGTTGCGGAGCCGAGACCGAGTTGAGAAAAATCCTCGCGGTTAAACGACCTAGTATGAATATTTCTGAGAACCATCGGTTAAGAAACCTCGAATTTGAAAAAAGTAAAAAGCGTAACTAACGGAACGAGAAGACGATGGCTTGTCTCGATGTACAAGGTTTTTGGAGACTAGAGCAATTCATCGTCAAAGAGTTTGGTCTTGTAGATATGGAGTGTACTGAAACTGAACCCTATTTATTCAAACCTCCGTTCCCGAGCAGCAAGTTGAACGCCAAAGACGTTGTGACACACAACTGGTTAACACGCAATCATCATCACTTGGAATGGGAAAGCGGGTTTCTCGAGTACGATGAATTCACTTCAAAAATGAATCGCATCGGGAACCACTACGATGTACTGTATGTTAAAGGTGAACAAAAACGAGATTTCAGCAATCGTTTCGTGCCGGAAAAATGTTTCGTTGTAAATTTGGATACTAAAGATTGCCCGTCCTTGCGACTATTGGCTCGTTGGTCGACAGCACATACGTGTCCTTTAGTACATCCATTCTGCGCTATGTCGAACGCATTCCGATTGTGTATGTGGTTGTCGGATTCTTCTTATCGGGAATATTTCAAAACTGTAATCATGCAGCAGCAGCAGAAAATTATAGTGGCAGACGAACAAAGGAATCACCCCGAAAATAATATAGGAGTGGGAAATAAGTCAGATTGAACGAACCGAAAAATAGCAGACGAAAAGTGAAATCATCCGTGCTTAATATAGCAGACAAATTGTCGAATCAACCCGACTTAATATAGCACACGAAAAATGGAATCATCCGCACTTAACATAACAGACGAAGTATCGAACCGAAATATAACAAACGAAAAGTGGAATCATTCGAAGAAAATGTGGCAGACACATTGTCGAATCATCCCGACTTAATATAGCACACGAAAAGTGGAATCATCCGCAGACGAATTGTCGAACCGAAATTTAGCAGACGAAAAGTGAAATCCTCCGTGCTTACTATAGCAGAAAAATTGTTTCACTCGTAGTATAGCACACAAAAGTGGAATAATCTGAACCTTGATAGAATTGACGACAGCCACCATCATGGACGTCTTCAACAATTCAATCTTGATCGTCGACGCTAAAGAGCTGATTGTAAACGCTCGCTACATGATGAACAAACTCACCAAAATGCCATCCAAGTACGGGATAACCCTTGCTGCTGATATCGTCTTCGAGAATCATCATCGGCTCCTCTTCCTACCTTCGCACATTGCGGACCGTTTGACGGACGATGCAATTCAGGATATCAACGCTGGATCTTTCGATCTCATCTACGAAGGACCGATCGGAAGAACACACAAATTCGCACTCGTTCCAAACGTTGCAGCCTGATTTATATTGTACGTCATGTTTGTAGTATTCTATTCTTTTCTAAATGATGTAATGCTTCCAAAAAAGACGTACGAATACTTCACAGGTGTGATCACGATCACCTGGGCTGTATTGTTGGCCGGGAAATTCTCTTTTGCCACAAGGGTCAACGTGATATCCACCGGAGCTGTTTTTAGATCTTCACCTTGGACACACTTGATGACAAAAATCGCGCGATCTTTGAAATTTTCGAACAACATAGCTGGCTCGCAGAGTTTCTCACTTTTCCAGTAGCCTCTCATAAAATCGGTGTAGTTCAGATAGGCGTGATGATAATCCATAGTCGGGAAATCGTAGATCGTATCAACTTGAGGAAACCGACGCTCACCGATTTGAACGCTGACCGAGCGCACATTTACATGGTCGAAAAGAGAGGAATCCTTCAGGTGATTGTCCCGTCGATCCGTTTGAAATGCCAACGCCACGAATTTGGGCTAGTGCCTGCTGGTTGTTCTTACGCTCCATTTGAACGTCTTGGTCGGAAAAATCCCCGGGATGTCGTGCGATTCCCAATTCATGTAACCGAAACTCATCTTGTTGTTTTTCTTCATCTTGAGCAAGATTTGTTTTCCCAGTTCCAATGTAAATTTGACGATGGGAATCTCCCAATAGATTTCGATTATATTAAATCTGATGGTATAAACGTCCGCCGTCGCCGCGTCGGTGATATAATATACGTTCTTTTCCGTACCACTGCGCACTAGGATCAACTCTTGCGAGCATCTGACTAGGACATCTTTGAAATGTACTGCGAATATGCTGAGTGAAGACAACGGAACGACAGCGCACTGAGTTTGATCCGCCTGTGTGAAATCCCATTCGGTCCATGAATGAGTGATGTCAACAAACCGGCAGTTGCGAGTCCTACGGTTTCCGCTTTAGTGTATGTGAGATAATTTTTCACGGTCGATGTCACTCCGACAGATTGCATGCTATCGACTTCTGTTCCGTTCACTTTGTACTGCATATGGTCGAACATGTGCAGGGGATAATTGTTAGCCCACTTGACTTTAGGTTTTGTAGCATCGGCGGCGGCTCCAGGATTTTTCTCGAGTTTCAGTTCTACACGCATGAAGATCCTCGAATCTTGAGCACGGTGATCAGGCCGTGAGTATCGGGGTGAACCGGATCGAATCGTTGTTTCCACGCCGTTCGTCGACCAGGCCGAAACGGATGTATTCGTATTCGATGATCTCTTGTCGCCAAGCTTCCAT